TTAAGAGTCAGGGTTAGGGTTAGGATCAAAAACCTTAATAATGAGATCCAGATAGATATCAGATGCACAGAGGTATCCAGGAAATTAAAACTTCTATTGAAAGGATATGCAGTATCAACCAATGTGCAGATACAATATCAGCTCTAGAATGCAGCGCTGTGGTTGACAAATCATTGAATGAAACAATTCTTAGAAAGGGATCACATCTTAAATAAATGTAAAGGAACGGAAATTATCCCCTGCACATTATCAGATCAGACTAGTATGAAATTGGTAATAAACGGCAAAAGAAACCACAAAAACTATATAAGCACGTGGAATTTATGGGATACAATTAAAGCAGTCATATGAGGAAAATTTATAGTTGTGAATTACCACATCAGCAAAACAGAGTGAGCTCAAATAAATAATCTAATGTTGAACCTCAAACTTAAGAACAAGTTAAATCCAAAGCTTGTATGCTGAAGGAAATTAAAATGATCAGAGCCGAAATTAATGTCATGGTACCACAGAGAGCAGCCAGAAAAAACACATAGTAACAGCTCTTCTGAGGCTATGGAGAAAACTTAAGCATCATTGAGATAACAGGAAAAAGGGAGATTAATCTCTTGCAGAAGAAAAAGAGGCTAAGAGATGGAGGGAGCACAGAGTGAGGCAAAGTAAAAGGGCTAAAAAATACAATGCATGTACCAACTTTCCACAATGAAGGTAAACATTATGTATTGTAAACATGTACTAATAAAGATAAAGATTCAAAATATAAATGGGCAGTCACGTCAAACATATACTTCTAGTTTCTATAATAAGGAAATATACAGGTATTATCTCAGTCCACTTCTGTTTTACAGAAATTGCCTCACAGAAAAAATGAGGAGGTTTACTTTTGCTCACAGTTTTCTCTAGGCTGGAAAATTTCTTGATTTTACACAGATCATCCCAGGGAAAAAGACCTAGGATGCATATGTGGGCTCTTTTATCCCTCTCTTCCAATTCCATTATTCAACAAAGGGGACATCAAAAAAATTTATACATTTGTAATTGCACTTCAAGTGCCTCAACTGCACATTTATACTCAGATGAAGTTTAGTATATCTCATAGGGTGTTAGATTTCAACATTGAGTTTTGTGTGAAAAAATCAGTATAAAATTACAAGAATTCATATTTCTCATGTATTTTCTTATAGGCATATGAACAGAAGATATTAAAATACATGCCCACAGAATTTCATACATGAATGTTTAATTCATAAAATCTACAAGGAAGACATAATTCTAATGTATATGAACTAATAATGAATAACCAAAATGTAAAGTACTCATAAAAAAGAATACCATTCAGCCACAAGAGAAATGACCTCATGATAAATGCTACACATCTATAAAGTGCTCAGTAAATTACTGGATCACTGGCTTGGGAAAAATGGACAAATTAGTGCAGGTGGTAGAGTTTTTGTAGGAGATAAAAGAAAATATTCTAAACTAACTGCAGTGATGATTATTTATATATTTAAATGAATGAATCAAACGGTAGGTAAATTATATATTAGTAAAGTCAGCAGAAAATAAAATACTTAGATGATTATAAATGTTCAAAGAATTTGGAGTTATTCACAGTACAAGAAACAATGAACAAAAGGAAGAAGAGAGGAAAGTGAAAAAGAGGGAATGAAGACAGAAGGGATATGGGAGCGAGGAAGAATAAAGGATGAAAGGATGGGAGAAGGAAAAAAGAAGAGTAAAACATACAAGGAAGAAAATGAACATGGAACAGCTGATAGGGGAAGCAGGAAGGAGAGAGACAGAAGGACAGGAGAAAAGAGAATCACAGAGACCACTGTATTTTACATCCCTGGACACAAAACTTCCAAGTTGGTCCTTTATGGGAAAGACTTTCTTTTGGTTTTGTTCTTTACTGTTTTGCTCAATTTTATTATAACTGATGATATAGGCAATTCTTTTTAAGATAGCAAGAGGCAGTATGGTAACCACTGTTGATTACCTTGTATTTTGTTTCTACATTATCTATTATGTCTATCCTTTTGATTTGACTGACTCTGTTCTGTTATGTCACATTTGGTTTTACTCTCTTCAAAAAAAGTAGTAAGAACTGTGGGAGTAATAAAACCCAAAATGTGTAATTGTCATTGTAAAAAAGAGAGGAAAAGAAAGTGCTCTAAAGGATATAACTGCATGTATATTTAAGCATATAAGACAGATAACGGTATTACTGAGTTTTTATTGGATCATTGAACAGAACTGTTTGCAGTCTCATTGTTTGAATGTTCACTTTATATACTTTAATTTTGTAACTTGAACAACTATTTCTAAGATGACAATATGTAATCTATTAACTAGTGATTTCCTACTGTTTTTTAAAAAATTCTGTATAACTTGTACCCTTTTTGTTTTGTTTTTTCTTTTTCTCCTTAAATAAAATTTTTTAAAAAAGAGTATCTTATTAGTCTAAGACAACAGGTGATAATAATTAGAGGCACCCCTGGTTGCTAGGCATTAATAAATATACTGTCCATGACTTTAAAGATGGAGAAAGTAGGTTAAAAAGTACATGGACATGTGTAATCTGTATTTACTACAGACAGTACCATGATGAGAATATTCTCCTGCAGTGTAAGGTATTTCAGCAAGTACAGCAGGAAGAAAACTGACTGGAGCTGCCATAAGAAAGCCAAGAAACCAAAAAGGATGCACTGAGAAAGAGATGAGTACATCTGAACAGGCATCACTGTTTTACCTGTTGAGATCCAAAACAAAGTGAAGACACACGGGTGAAAATTTAGGTTGTAGAACAGAGGAAATGGTATTGTTACCAGTACGGTAAAAAACAATTTTTAAAAATCTATGAGGTTTTTCATTTAGAGATAAGTGACTTCCTAAGGCCAAGAATGTAAACAGCTTCCCCACCTTTCCTCAGTTCAGACAGATGAATGAGCAAAGTATGCAGAAGCTGACACCAGGAAGCCTGAAGCCCAGTTTCCTTTCTCCAGGAAAGGGGACAATGAGGTAAAGATGCCTAAAAGTGATGAAGTGAGAAGATTTGCATCATCTCTCTGTGCTCCTCTTCCCATGTGTCTTCCTGCAAAAGACCCTTGCCCACCTCTTAATAGACAGTGTGATCTGAGGTAAATAGGCTCTCCATCTCCTCTGAGCTCTGAATATATCGTTTTTTTTTATCCCCTTTCCCCTAATACATGGCTTCTTTCAATTTGGTCAGCAATGAGATGAATGTAAGCATATGAGCCTGAATGTCCAGTACTAGTTTGGCACACACTAAGTGATGTGAGAGACAGGCATCCTGAAAGTCACTTCAGAAGAGAGACTGACTGCTCCTGCCTGGCCAATATTCAGCATTTTAAGGGCCTGGAAAAGCTGTTGGGTACAGTTTTTAACCTGAAAATCATCCTCCTTTCTTGTTCATAAAATCAGCTCTCTATAAATTCTTGGCGGTAAAAGAAAAAAGGTGGTGGGGCTGGAGATTTAGCTTAGCGGCATAAGCACCTGCCCTGCAAGCAACGAGTTCGATCCCCGGTACCGATAAAAAGAAAAAAAAAGAATAAAGGTGGTCTGGAAAGTTGATCAGTTCCATGTGTTTTCCCTTAGAAGGTGCATTCCAGGAATCTTCTCTCTCCACAATGGAGAGCTTCTCTTCAGTTTTTCACTAGCTCACTTTGGGCAAGCTCACTTTGGGCCCCACTATTTGGGGCCGTTTTGGACATAATCAGGTCGTTTGGGAGCACTGATTGGTCTCTGGAGCATTTGTGGTGAGGTAAGCACCTTTACCACTTACAAGCATCAGAATATATTGCAGGTCATTTTGAGGTCCCTGATTAGTGCAAGAAGAGACTGAGAGGAAGATACAATTTCTAGGTTTTTTTTTTTTAGTACTCATTTGTTTTTGTTTGCTTTGGCATTCTTTTTGCTTTCATTTTATTTTTCTTATAACCACCTTTATTGTAGGTTGGACAATACAGTTTGAGTACTATTAGAAATATGTAACCCTCTTGGGCTTCAATTTATTGTAAGGTTTCTTTTGAGGTTCTTGAACCATTTCATGACCTAAAAACTTGGATTAAGAGATTTTTAAGAGGATAGACACTGGTTGTGTGTTTGAGGAGCTGTGTATCATTTTTCAGAATTGCTTTGTTTCAAAATGTTATTAGGACTACTTTCTTAAACAAGAGTGGTTTAACAGGACTACAGCTTCTAGTTCTGGTGGTTATTCTACTTTGCAGAAGTTGAGGTTAACAGACCTCCCCTATGTCTTATTACAAGGGAAGTGGAGGTAATGAAGTTTGCTTATTAGATCTAATAAAGTCCATTTGACAGCTTTCCCTAAGTGATTTAATATATTCTTTGTTTCTTAAAATGTATAAAGAGTATATCTGAATGTATTAAATATATTTCAGACAAGTGTCTTCCTTAGGGCAAGGGCCTTAACATCTTCCTCTGTCTCTCCTCAGCCCAGATAAATAAACAAAATATGCAGATGCTGACATTAGGAAGTTACGAGAAAGGAAATGATGAGCTAAAGATGGCTAAATGTGGCAGAGCAAGTGTGATTTCCATTATGTCTGCTCTTCCTTCCCTCTGTACTTAACTGAAGAAGACCCTTGCCCCTGTAAATGGAGAGCTGGTGGTTTCAGACAAATAACCCTCTCTGTCTCTTAGCAGATAGATGTGAATAAATCCTTTTACCTTTTTACCTGAATATATGGGCACTATGATTTTTAGTGGCAAGCTGTTGGGAGCAGGAACCAGGGGTCCGGCAGTGAACAGGTGTGGAAAACCACACACTGAAGCTGGACCTCAACCAGTTCCTTATCCTGCAGTAACCTCAGCCTTCTAGACAAAGCATCACGCTGATATTAACCTGGGAATAGCTTCATAACATAAGCAAAGAAGTTTCTCATGGGCCCAGGAACATGTTTATCTCCTGGGCTGCACAACAAAGAAGTTTCTCATGGGCCCAAGAACATGTTTACCTTTGCTGCATGCACAAGAAAGTGTCCTGAAGTGACTTGTACTGCTCTTTGTTTTGAAACACTATAAAAACTCTGGAGTCCTTTAATAAATCTCCTTTTGCCTCCTGAGCAATTGGTCTCCCTGCGTCTTCAGTCTCTCGCCTGACTCCTTCCCCGCGCTGGCCGTGGCACCTAGCAGCAAGCACAGGGATTTGGAGCATATGAGCCTAAGTAAAGGAAACTATTTCATGAAAATTCTATGTTAAGGAGCAATTTTTTTGTGTGCATTACTCCATTACTCTGCCTCTTTCCTCACTTATTTAATAATAAAGTTCTTAGCATAAGCAAAACTTTAGCAACTAATTGAATTTTTCTAACACTTGAGTACAAGAAAGTGCATGCATTTGGTGCCACTGCAGTCAGACACAGATGATTAAGCCTCTCATACTATGCATATACTGTGCAAATATTTGAACTGGGATGTTATATACCATATTTTTTGGAAGTGTTTCTCTTTTAAGTATGCAAAGATACTGGTTTAGATTTAGTTTCAATTTGTAATACTAGAATGTGCTACAAGACTACATTAATGAGGCATGAAAAAATTCAGTGGTTTAGTTTTGCACATTGTTACAAGGTAACTGGAAGTCCTATAAACTATATTTTCTATGATCCTCAATGTAATCAAATTTTTTCTAAGAACCACACTGAAGCCTCTCTACAGACTCTAGCAGAACCCATATTAAGTAAGTATAAGGGTCCTATCATGGGAGCCAATAATCAGATATAAAGATGCCTACTTTCAGATATGGGATGATTATATGTGGTTAACTCCAACTAAGGGACAACTTAGTAGAAAGACACCCTTATGTTCAGAACAAAGAAATCACTCCAATTCTCATTGGCCTAACTCTACTACATACATACTACATGGATACCCCCCGACTACTGTATTCATATAACTTTACAGGTCAAACACTGGTTTGCAACAGACTAATTTAACCTCCCTTCAGTGGCACTTGCTGGTCCTGAGGAACCAAAATGTGGCCCTGGGTACCTCCTGGATAGATAGGGAGATGTACCCTGGGACTTGCATGTTTACAAGGCAGGAATGTCAACAAACCTTCAAATTTACCCCATCTATGACATCAATGGTCCAGAAGTGTCTTTCACTTTGGCTTCTATCTTTATTTGTTCCCTACGATTACAGGATATCATGGAACACTTTAAGGCTTTGACTAATTATACTCAATGGACCTTCAATGACACTTTGACTGACCTCTCTCTCCTAAATGAGAAAGTAAAGTTAATGAGGCAGACTGTCCTCCAGAATCAGATGGCATTAGTCATTCTAACATCAGTGCAAGGAGGGTACTTCTGCAATTAATTGTAAAAGTTGAATGTTATATATATACTCCTGATACTTTCACTAATATCTCAATGACTGTTTAACATATTAAATGATAGGTTAATGCAATGTGGAATGTTGAAGTTCCCTGGACCTTCTTCTTACCCTGTTTGTGGGAGGCTAATACTGAGTTCCTGGTGGAAACACTTGTGGTTATAGTCATAATAGTCGTTGATCTTATTATTTGGCCCACATATAATTGTTTCTTTGGTCTTGTCTCCTACAGACTGATAGCTATATGCCCATCCAAGATGAGAATGCATGGCATCTATGGAAGACCTTTAGTTAGACCCACTGTAGAGTATTTCTGACTGCTGATCACAACCATGACTCCCTTTAGATAACAATGGCCAGAACAGTCATTGCCCTGTCCCTCCTCATGGCAGATAGGGATACCTCTTAGATGGGGGAACTATTGTAGACAGCTAATTTATATTGAAATATTATAGGCTGTCAGACAGGGTTAGGTCCTGGAGGGAATAAGTACAGAAACTAATAATACATTATGATTGTGGTTGGAGGCATATCTGTTGAAAGCCTGGCCTCAAGATAAAGACAGAATAACCAGGTCTATATTCCTTCCCAAGAGATAAGCAATATGCTCTAACTGGTATCACCTGCTCCAATAAAGTATAGACAGACTTCAGTCAGTCACCCAGGTGGGTGACCAGGATCTCCTGACTCACTGCTTCCTTGTTCTATATACACCTTCTACATGACTTGCTTCCCCATTAGATCAATATTACCTAAGCAGACATAGTTGTAATCTTATTGGTTGATAATAATTTATTCCACATTGCACCTTCCTCATGATTTTGCTCTATAAAGCTTCCACTGTAAAGACAGGTCCATAGCAATTCATGTTGGACCCAGCCTGTTTCTGAGAAGCTATCTCTCTCAATCAATATTTCCTACTCTTAACCTTCATTGTCCCTTAGAATTCATTCTTCAGTTTTGGGGAACACCAACTCAGAATACCTAACTCATATTTTTCATACAAAATTTCTTAAGTGATCTCTTATTTTCAAAGTATGTAATGAAATGTCCTTAGAAATATTTAGGATTAGGTAATAATTTATAATGTATAAATTAAAATTCAAATTAAATACCTTTCAGTTAAATATGCAGGTTTTGAAATATATATTTGCCATACACTTTAGGAGTAAAATACAACTATTAATTAATACAGCAGGAATCAATATACTGGAAAAGATGAACAAGACAGGGGTAACAGCAAAAGTCACAAAGAAAACAAGAACTATTTATAACATCACAGACATTTTAATTTGAATGACAGAGTCACAAAGTGACCAATGCTGAACATCAAATTTTGATTTTGTTACATATAGCAGCTGGAATGTTGGTATCACACGTGCACAACACTGCACCTAGCCAAGCAAGGATATTATAAGAGAAATAAAAGACAATAGTTAAATTGTCACTATTGGAATTTAAGTAGTACACATGAATTTTAGAAACATAAATTTTGGGAGCCAGGGGTTTAATTCAGTGACACAAGTGCCTGATTGGCAAGTGTGAGTTCCTGAGTTCAATCCCTGGTACCAAAAAGAAAAAAAAAAAAAAAACATATATACACACACACACACACACACATTTTCAAACATGGAATATGAAAAACAATGCCAAAAAATCCAACAAGATGGTAAGCAACTGAAATGAATCAAAAAAAATTTACCTTTGTAAATTCATCTTCTAATGAGACAACTGTTTCATTGAAACCTTAAGATATTGATCAAGATGTGATATATATATATATATATATATATATATATATATATATACCAACTTCCCATGATGAATGTTTGCTATACCTACAAAATATAGTAATGTAACTGGTAACTGAAAAATGATATGCTCAGCTGCCTTTACATTACATGCCTGGGTTTTTTTTTATAAAGCAAGGAATATTTGCAGCTAATTTCATCAAGCTAATCTATTTTCACCTAAAATAAATCTTCACTTAAAATCAGACAACATGTTTACCAGAAAAGACAATTATAGGCCCTTTATACCAATATCACCCAGTAAAATACAAGGATTTATTAGAAAATAGTCTGTTATATTGGCACTTAGGTAAGAGGTGCCATGGCTTCCTAGGCTGTGTAATGCTCTAAACTCAGTCCAGAACAATATTTTAAGTTTTTATTTTATCAAAGATAAGGATGGTTAAGAATCAGAGGCCTAAATCAACAAAGAATAATGTCAGGAATTACTTGAATTTAGGCACAAATGTATTTTCTAAATTGTAATTTCTATTGATTATTTCTTAAAAGCCTCTAATCTTAAAAAAAAATCAAAAACGTTCAACAACTAGATACAGCACTTATACCATAAAAATAACACATGGGACACTAACGGAGACCCTCTACATGAATTTTTTAGGACCAAAAATAAGTCAAGGATATTGATAGTTTCCACTGTTCTGTCACATGAAACCCAAAATCCATGTGTGGTACTAGAAAGCAAGAAAGCAAAAAAGACAAATAAGTAATATAAGCATTCAAGTGAAAGAGTTGAAATTACTTTATAGAAATGATAAAAATTATCAAGATATAACATTTCAGGGCAAAAATAAAAACACCAATCCTGTCAGAGAATTTCAAATGGAAAAAATTATACTGTTTCTCATATTTTTACTATTCACTATCACTACAGCATCAATAAACTTAACTGACTCCCAGGCATAACACATACTATGAAGAAATAGTATCTTTTTCTCAAGGTCAATACACACACAATAACTAGAGAAACAAAAAGATCCTTTGTTTAGATTTGTTTAAGAATTACTTTTTAATTTAACTTTGAAGTTAGAAAAAATTTTTGTTATTAATAGAAATAAAAGTGCAGCAATATGCATATGACATGTGAATATGAACTTTTAAGAAACTACTTCATTTTAAAAATACATTTACTTAGAAGCTTGAAGTTGTATCATATTTTGCACACTTCTAATGTCAGCTATAAAAAGGTAATGGATGGTCCACTAACTGCTTCTCTCAATCTATGTCAATATTTCATTCGACATAGGACAATCTCCCTCACATATCACTGCAAGGAAAAGATTCTGTAAGCACCTAGAAATATTCATACTCTTTCAAGCACTTATATATCTCTGTAAAATATTTTCAACATCTTTAAAAATCAGCAACATATTAAAAAATACTACTCCTAATTAACTTTTGCTCTCCTGACATTTTGGCACAAAGTAGTCTTAAACAGGGAGATCACCACAAACTAAATGGCAGCTTGGGCTATGGAGTGAGTTCAAGGTCCAACTGAATTGCAGAATCAGATCCTCTCTCAAAAAACCTAAAGAAAGCAACTGGGGAACATTATCTGCATGTTTAGAGAATAAGGTACAGTCTTAGATTTGATGATATAACATGGCATGAATACTACAAAGTACGTCATTAATACTACTGATTAATACCAGTGAATGAACTATAAATGTCACAAATTATTCTAGAATCCCTTTTAAAAAACAGAGGATGAGACATTATTTTTCAAATCTTAAATAAATATAAAGAGAAAAACTATCCATTTCTATAAGTTGGGATGTACTACAAAGTTATAGTTACTTAAGTCTGAACATCAGATGACATGTAAACACTAAATTTATAAGAAATATTTCTACTGTCCTCTAAACTATGATTTGCTAAGGCTGGCAGTACAAATAAAGAGGAAGAGGAAACTAATCATCCATTAATGGTGGTAAGTTGTGTATTGTATGGGCCAAGTAAACATGATTTGTGCATCACAAACATTCAAAGATGTACTCCAGTCAGATATATGACAAAAATACTAAAGATGAAAATGTGGGGCTAGGGATATAGTTCAGCGGCACAGCAGCTGCCTGGCAAATATGAGGTTCTGAGTTTGATTCCCAGTATCCAGGAAAAAAAAGTAAAGTGTAGAAGAAAGTATAAGAAAATGATTTTCTGATTTAAGAGTGCAGAAACTTCAGATATAAATTTGCAAAGCTGCAAATTTTAATGTGATTTGGAAAGAAAACAAAAAGGTCACAAGTTTAGCAAAAAAAAATCACTGATGAAATTAATCTGCAAAATGATGGAAAGTATTTTCATTCTCTAGAAGTAACAAAGAAATACATAGAAAAAAAGAATTTAATTGAAAAGCATCCCCATCATAAACATCAATATATAAGTAGAAAATTTATACAAGGGTTTCACAGGAAAAAAAAATGAAGACCTAAAAGAAAGGTGCTAATAATACAGAAGAATGGAAATGAATCTCAATTCATATTCATAAAATTCATGAAGTTTGAAACTCTGGTGTTGGTGATTATGAGAATAGAAATAACTACCTACTGGTGGAGGTGGTATGAATAGTGTGCATTGGGTTTTAATGGATACACACTCTGTGTACTAGCAGACATGCTCCTGAGCAATTATGACATTTTGTTAAATCTGTTCTAGGGCAGTAAGAATAAATGTTCCCTGTGGCACTTATACCATTTTGATAGAATTCAAAAACCATGGTTTCTCATAATTATGAAAATGGCAAATAAGGTATTACATTGAACCTACATGTTTTTGGAAGCATGAAATCACCAGTGGCTGAAATTTTCTGACTTAGCAGGTTCAATAGACACATAAGCTCCTGAATGACATGGTACCCTGAGAGGGTAAAGATCCCAGGAGCTACCAACTCTCTGCTTCTCCACCCTACACCCACGCTGACTGATTCTCCAAAATAATTCCCAGTCTATATTGAACTCATTCTCTCTTCTGGCTTCCTCTTTAAACTGCTTTTCAGATTCTACTAGAGTAAACCAGAAAAGGATCCCTTGTTTGGATGTGCTGTGATGATACACACTGGGAGTGTAAAGCCAGATGAAGAGGTCCTTTGAACTGAAGCTCTGTGCTTTATCTCTGCAGTGCTCTTCTCCACAGGCTAGAATCCATGGCTTTCTCCAAGATACCAATATGAGAGAGTTGTTCACAAAGTTTGAAGAATTCAGGCAAACTCAAGGGAGTTTCAGTGATTGTAGTATCAAGCCATATATGAAACATATGGCAAAGCCTTATCATCACCTCTTTCCCCAGAGAAATGTAAGTCATTACAAAGGAAAAATGGTCGCAAGACTTGCATGTGACAGGCATGACCTCAGCTGATTAAGGGTAAGGAAGAAGCAGTGGGAAAACTAGATACAACAAAATGCCAAGTCAAAACACAAACAAAGAAAACCAAATCAGATAGTCAAATATTTTCCCCAAAATTAAGGCAGACAGAATGGTTCCCAGAATTCGCATAAAGTAAGAAAGGAGTTTTCTCTTCAACATTGTACATTCTTGGTGCGTTGTGGTTAAACTGGCACTGTGTTTGTTTATTATCAATTCCTATCTTACTGCCTTGTCCTGGTAAAGCAAAGTGGACAATAAGAATAAAGCACTGCACTTCTCTATCATACAAAATATACAGATAAATAGCCAACCAGCCCTAATGCAGAGTAATGCTCCTTTATCCAAACTGCTCATACTGTGTCTTAGTTCAGTTCCTCAGGAGGACCTGAGTAATACAGTGCTCAACACAGGAAACTACCAATTAGTTTCATATCCTCCAAAGGACCACTTTGGCTGTTTACACTCGGAATCCTGTCATACTAACAGAGCAGCAGCTCACTACTGTGCCCAGCGTCTTGAGCAAATCTGTAACACACACCATTTCTGTGCAAACATTAAAATTCAAAAATTGAAGTAAATTTTCCACTGAATACTAATCAGTGTTTCTTTGATTCTTCAGTACTTCAGATTGAACTCAGGGCTTTCTGAATGTTGCACAAGTTATATTACATTGGAGATACAGCCCAAGTATTTTTACTTTATTTTGGTATGGGTCTTGCTCCATTATCCAGGCTGGCTTCAGAACTGCAATACTCTGCCTCAGTGTCCCAAATGCCAGGATGAAAGTTGGGTGCAATCAGGCCTCACTGAAGTTTCATTTAATCAAGCAGTGCAATCCTGGTTAATAGTGGTAATTAAAGAACTGGTACGTTAGCTAGGCATGTTGGTACATGCTTGTAATCTCAGGACTCCAGGTAAGCTATTCAAGATCAGAAGTTCACTGCAGCCTGACAACTTAGTGAGACCTGGTCTCAAACTTAAAAACAAAATATTAAATAGGGTAGGGAATGTAATTCGGAGCAAAAGTCCTGAGTCCAATACTCTGTGCAATAAAAACATCAACCACACTTTGCAATCTTCTGTACCAGGGAGAAATTTCTTTCCATCACACTTGGATGACCATATCCAACAATATTTAAGACTACAACAAGGCTTCATTTCTAATTTCCAGTTTTTCCTAAAAAATAATTAGGTTAACTGATAAGTGGTAACAGAAGACATATTTATCGAACTTCTACTGACTTCTCTAAAGGGCTGTGCTCTTTGATCCACTCAGACTGAGCCATGGCACAATTCTTTATGTCACATAAAATCTACTCTGACTTCAGGGGAATGCATTCTCTGTTGTAAGCGTGGTTGTCACCCTTACCAGCCCCTTCTCTCCCACTTTTTTTCTCTTTCCAACAGAGAAAACCTTTAACCCTACGTATTCCTATGCCTGCAGTCCTCACATTTAGGACTATATCTCTAGTTAACACAAACCCCACCACAATGAAGATTTCGATTTTTCAAACAACTGTCTATAACCAGTCCAATGGCTACTGCAATTACACTCCTCTC